TACAAGTGGGATGAATTTACATACCCAGTGATAATAAGCGAAAGAATGAGTTGCATGTGACCTGTTTCATGCTAATATTTGCCTTCTGGCTAAAGTAAAGTTAAAAGAGGATATAGAGATAACTTATCTCCAGTTTTCTTCTTTGGATGTTTGTTATACTTCTGACTTCATCCCACCATTGGGAATAGTAGTTATGGACTTATAAAACAGCTTTCTTCAACTGACACAAGACCAGTCAAGATGGGAGATTGAGTTTTGATCTGTATGTGGCTTCAGATTCATTTATTGTGAATTTATCTGCCTGCTTCCTCTTGTTTTCTGAAAGCATGGGAGCTTTCAGAAAGATAGGCCTGGGCTTCAGGACACAGAAAACTGGAAGAAATCTCGTATCTTGCCTTAGGATACCTCAGTACTTGGATTCTGTTTTCCTTTTTCCCAGATATATAAAAGCTATTTCCAGATACAGGAAAGCTATTTTGCCCAACTAGTTTTCAGTACAGAGGGGAAAAAACATGTGGAGTTGTACATGTGTGCACATGTAGACACACGTAATTTTTTAAAGGTCTAGCTCCTTATGTATTCTTCTTTTGTTTATAAAAAACTGCTGAGAAAAATTAAACTCCAAGCAATTGCAGACATGGTAGTTGCTTATAAAATTTTGCACTGAGAATATGGCTGTGGCTGCTGTTCCACAGAATATATTCTTGAGCTCCGTACCATGCTCCAAGGGTTACACGCACAAGGAAAGAAAAGGGAAGAGTGTTATTCACAAAAGCAAACGGAGCTGTTAGGTATTAGAAGGAATTTCACTTGTTTCACTTGCAAAGACGAATTGCTTCAGTATCAAAAATCCCACCTTTATTAGCTAGAGCCTTCTATTGTACAGGTGTTTGGCTTTGCTAGTATTTTCAGTAAGGCCCTATTAATCCAGTCACATTATCCTTGATAACAACTAAAGTCCTAAGTATTTATATGCAAGTGTTTCTTTGTATACTTCTGTTGGAAATGTAAAACAATACTTAAATAGCTTTTTTAGGCTCTTATGTTCTCCTTGTGTACAGGATTGCTCACACATGGGGACCTCTGGGAGCTATGCAGGTGAAAACGGGTCACAAACATACTAGAGAGACAAATAGTATTGAAATAAAATTAGAACAATATTGAAGGCAGTAATGCTTAAATGCTGAGACAATATAGTGCTGGAATCCGAATGATGTTAGTTTAATGGTTTGGATGGGAGCCACAGGCTACAATGTTACCTGTTGGGTTAAAGGTCTGCTCCTTACATCAGCTACATTAGGACTTCTGTTAACTCACCAACAATTAAAAATATTTATTTTCATGTGTATTTGTGGGTATTTGTCGTATCCTGGGGTAAATTTAACTTCTGTGTAAGTCTGGAGCCAGCTGGTCTATAGAGACTGTGTGTCTCATGTGGTCCTTGCCTCCTGCTCTGTGGTAGTGCTCATGTAAGGGATGGGGTATGTTTGCCGATGAAGATTCACATGCTAGTCCTGTGCATTTTGCTTTATTTATTATATGATTCCTGATTCAGAGCATTAAAGAAAATGTATCATTTTCCTTAAACTACAAGTGCAGCCTAAAAATCCTACTGCTGTGGAGGAGAGAGGTGGGGAGCAGATGAGTGTCGATGTTTTGCTGTTTGATTTAAGGTTGGGGCCTTTCAGCTGTGTGTCATGTCATCTCCCAATTTAAACTTGGATAACTAACTCAGTTTTGTTCTTTGTTTGGAAGATATTTTTTTGATATTTCTAGGAGGTGCATCTTCAAGGAGAACATCTTTAGGAAAGCTTGGTTTTAAAAAGTGTTGACAGGTAGTAGCAGGTTGGCTATTTATAAAAGGAGTGTTTGTACTGGCCTATGCATTACAGTTTTCTGAGTAAGCATATATTAGCTTTTAGTATTTACATATAATTATGATAATGATAAAATTCACAAATAGTTTCAAGTCCGAAATTTTGCCTGAAAGGCAATAAGAAATGTAAAAGGCACTGGCTGCTGCTTTTTTATACATATGCAGTCAGTGAAAAAGTAGATCCACAGCTCCATCTACTGGAGTTCAGAACCGCCGCCCGGAGCTGCCCGTTGCTACATGGCACCCTCGCACGCTTGTGTGAATAAGTGCTCGGCAGAAGCTGAAATAACACGTACTGGGTTGTATTTTTCAGCTAGTGGATTGGTGGAGTAGATTTCTCTGGAGACATTGTTGTAATATTTTGACAATTTTACCTCTTTTAACGTTTTCTATTGAAAAATATTGTATATATGCAAATAATATTAAAAATATTAATAAATATTTACAGTATTCAAAATATTCAAACTGTATATACACATAAGCATTCATATGTGCATATATACATGTGTGTACATGGTTGTGTGTTTCGAGAAGTGTCCTTTGATAGCTATTGTAGACCTAGAAAGAACAGTATATTATAATTAGTTCTTATTTTATGGTGAGGATTTATGCAGCTTAGACAATAAGATAAATGTTGACAGTTTTTTTGTGCCCTTCCTTCAAGAGGCAGGGAAGGAAGAATGAATGAATAAATGTCATTTTGTTATCTGCAGTTGGAGGCGGTGTAGTCTATTAAAAATTGTTGCCACCTGGAAAGCTAAGGCTGTGTATATTCACAGGTCAATTATTAGGAATAATCTCTACGATTATTTAGACACAGCCTTTGCATTTCCAGCAAAAGTTACAATATGTGCTTTTTGCTCAGTTTTCTGTTTTCTTCTGCTCTCAACTCAGATAATTTCATAATTATAAACCAGGATGGTTTGTTTTCTAGTCAACTGACCATTAAGATGTGGGCAGGAGAGCGAGTGATGGGAGCGAATGTTTCATCTTAGCATAAAATGCCTATAGTGGTTTAATGTATATGAAAATATTTTTTATCATCTACTGCAGTTGTAAAGCTGCGTTCTAAAGTCTTTTTTCAGCAGTTATGATATCTCCTTAAAATACAAGGGAGAAACTTCACAATTTCTGTTATGTGTACGTGCATATCACTCACTACCTATCAGCATACCTGCAAGTACAGGTTCACAAAAGCGAAACCCCCCCCCCCCCCCAAACCAACACAATGGGTCTGGAAGTGGTTAAAGAACAGAGGGAGGTTTGTAAGGGGAGGATAGAGAGGATTAATTATGCATGTGACTTTCCAAAGCATGTTTTCAGTAGGCTGACTTGTGGACAGACGAACAAGCTGGTATAAGGTAAGCCTGTGTGTGAGTTCACAGAGCCTCAGCTTCTCAGTGCTGTTGCCCCTGCTTTTGCTCTTGCAGTGGTGTAAATGCAAACTACCTTAAGTGTCAGTGGAGTGGGATAACTGACCGTGCCTCGGTTCATTTGGTGGATGTAAAATTGTTCTGATAACCTGTGTGTGTGTGCGCCTGTGCCAGCAGTTCTCTTGCAATCAGACTGAATTCAAATTTGGATTTCAATCGCAGGACTTGAGTATTGTCTAGATCGGGTTGTAGCTTGTCATCAGAGATCACCGGCGGCTTGTAGGAATTAGTGACTGTTCCCAAGCTGTTTCTCTCATCTCAAACTGCAAAATCGCTTATTGATTCCTGATGTTTGTGAATATTGTTGGCTGCTTGGCAGTGCATGTTCAGACTGAAGCTGTACTAGCTTTAAAAAAAAAAAAAAGAAAAAGTTAACAACAGAGAAAGCACAGTCCAATATCTAGGCAGAAATAGTCTCTGATCTTACTCTTTACCCTTTCTTTCAAAGTAATATAATATATATCTAGTTTTATTACTCCTTAAACGTTCTGTTCCTATTTATATATGTGTGTGTGTATAAATATAGATATTGTTTATAGGTATTTGTTGTAGCTGTATAACGCATATTAAATTGCTCATTATATGAATGAATTTGTTTTTACACTTGGCATACAAACATTGTTTAGATAAATGACCTGATTTTTATTCTCCTGTGCTGAACACTTGCAACTTGCGAAGTTGCACTCAGGTGTTACACCTGCAGCCCCTCTTGTTCTTGTGCTTATATAGCACATGTTTTATTGCTCCTTCCAGGGTCCTGTCTTTCGCAGTGGTAGTTTAGTATAATGAGAACACAAAAGGGATAGATCTGGTATATATTTCACAAAGATTAATTTTCTTCTAGTACATCTACTGTGCTGATCAAAATAAGTTTTTTATTGTTTAAATATTTATTAAAAATGACAAGTGTCTGTAAAAGAAACTTTTCATTAATTTCAAAAACCTGCAAAAATAGCTAATTATTAGCAAGTAGACTACAAGAGGATTTCAGAGAAGTGTTCAAAGGAAACATTAACATTCAAATACAGAAATGTGATGCCCTATTTTGACAGTAAATTCCTAGAACTTAGAGTACCTTAGGAAGAATTTTTGGTGGTGCTTATTTTAGCTTGACTGCAATACCAACATTTTCTCTGCTATAAGCTGATACATGCAACCTTTAGCAGGAGCACATAAAGGAATTAAAAATACAACTGAAAATTCAGTGAAGATTGGATAATTTTAATACTACTCTTCTGTGCAAAAATCTGAGTAATTAGAAACACAAGATAATGTTTTGCTCTACTTAGATCATGAAAAATCAAATTTGTTCTAAGAGATGTTACAGTTTATAAGAAGACTTGTCCCAAGAACTTAAAAAACCAAAGACATTTGGGTGATATATTTGTATATCTTTTGGTGTGTAGATTTTATACTGTTACGCAGTGTGATCTGTATTGTATAATATATTGTATATAATACTGTATCTCTCATTCCTAGAAGGCTTTGAGCCACATCTTTGCCTAGCTGCCGAATGTCAGCACTGCCTATTGAATGTCACTTTGAGATTATAAAAATCTGCACTAATTCATACGCATCAACTTGCAGCTGTACATAAAATTGATGTTGGCATCTCATGTATTTATGCTGACTTAAAGCCTGTTTAAGTGGATTTTGAGGATGAATAATCTATCTTTTTTTTTTTTCCTTCTCATCCCAGATTAGTTTATTGGCTGCAAAGAGCCACAGACGCTTTGTGCCCTGATGGGGGACTCGGGATCCAGACGATCGACTCTAGTATCTCGGTTGCCAATATTCAGAAGAAGTATTAGCCGGAGACACGACTCTCTTCCTTCCTCACCTTCTTCTGCTAATGCTATTGGGGTCCACACCTCCTCCCCATCCAGCACTAACTCCAGCTCAGGGAGCACGGGCAAGCGCCGGAGTATTTTCCGCACTCCTTCCATTAGCTTCCATAACAAGAAAGGGAGTGAGCAGAAGCCTGACTCGACTGGTCAGAATGTTAACATCTCAAATGGTGCCCAGTCTTCTCTCAGCACTTTTCAGAAACTGAGCTTAGAGGAACACATTAAAAGCAGAGGAAGGCATTCAGTTGGCTTTGGCAGCTCGCGTAGCAAGAAGATAACAAGGTCTTTGACAGACGATTTTGAAAAGGGAAAGGAACCCTCAGCTAATAAGAACGTCTTTATAAATTGCATAAGCTCTGGGAAGAATGAGGGTGATGACTCAGGCTTTGCAGAGGAGCAGAGCCGATACTCTGTCAAACAATCCACACGAAAACTTCTCCCTAAATCTTTCTCATCGCACTACAAATTTTCCAAGCCAGTTCTGGAGAGTCAGTCAGTTTCCTCTGAGCAGCAGTCCAGGTGCTTGCTGGAGGTTAAATCGTACGTGGAAAGTGAACCTGTGATCGCCAAGTCCTCTCCTCCATGTTCGGCTGGGACGCCAGAGTGCATGGGAAGCTCCTTGCAGTCATCACTGCTCTCAGCTGACCTCACGGCTGCCCAGACCCCCTCTGACTTTGTTGCCCTGACGGAGGATTCTGTTTCAGAGGTTGATGCTCTGCCCAGCAGTGGGACTGGGGTGCTGCTTGCAGAGGATTTTGGCCACAATGTCTCTACCTCTCAGATCTTCTATAATCTTCCTGCTGCTGCTGCTCCTGCAAGGGAAACAGATATTGTGGATAGTACTGGCCATTCTGCGGGTGTATCTCCTGTGAGTCACGCAAGCTCATGTAGTGTTGAATCTAAGACCTTATTCAAAACCTCAGCTGCTAATCATACGAAAGTATTGTTGCAAGCCAATGAACTGCATATTAATGATGCCAGACATGTAGGAGAAATTAACTCTGCAAATGCATGCTTAGAAACCTTTGCATTACAGTGTAGAGATGAACCAGTGATACTCTCTCCTAAGGCCCAGGGGTTGAGTGGGGACAGAGATGTAAGCACACCGTCCAAGCACACCAGAGAGACAATTCCTGTAATGGAGTCTAAGATTGTTCCATGTTCTGAACCTCAGTCCTTTAAAACACAACAGGGTTATGAAACAAACCATTCCAAAGGTAAGTCTCGTGGTCTTCTCGTTGGGTTTGGTGGGGGTTTTTGGCTTTTGTTCTTCTGTAAGAACTGTTTGGTCATAAAGTGTCTTTGTAGAGTTGCCAGTGCTAGGTAGGAAGTTCAAGAGTTATGAATTGTGCCCTTTTCCGAAAATTGTAGGCATTAAACAAAAAGTCTATGGATTTTTGAGTTTGTGTTTTAGAGTTTGCTAACACCCATCAGTGCTATTCTTAGCTATGCTTTCTTGTGGTAGAATATGGATTAAGAAGGACAGTATTGATTCTTGCCTCTTGTTGAAGGTTTAAGCTGGCATCTTTGAGGCATGCCTATCTTGGACCTGAGCTAGAGTTGCATTGTTTGAGATGGAGAGGTTGCCAGAGAAATAAAAACCATGTTATTTTTCATAACCAGACTAAAAGAAGGTTTATCATATACTGATCTGGGTTTCGACACTTCCCAACTCTTGCTTACTCTATTCAGCTGATGTTATAGAGTAGCTTGGAGTCGATGTTTCTGCGACAGAGTATGAGAGATCCTATTTCTACTTCCATCTGAAGTAACATTGTGCAAATTCTCAGTAATCTATGAAATGGAGAGAGTTAATTACCATCTAAATTTCCAGTCTGGATCTTTAGCTTATGAAAAGGAATTTGGAAATATTAACTAGGTTAAGTGGAAAGGCTATGCCTAGAAATCCCAGTCTATAGAGATGCAGGTGAATAAAGGCACCAGGCCCTTGAGTGAAGGACACCTGTCAGAAGAAATTTATCTCTTGACAGTTTATTTTCTCAAACCAACCTAAAGACTGGTGCTTTCTTGCATAATTCTGAGGCTGTTACTGGTGGGCCAAAACTTGTGATGTTTAACAAGACTGCATTTATAGTGTTTGTATTAGAAAATGTATGAGTGTAAACTCATATGAATTCATACTCATCTTTTTGCTTGAACATTTATCTAGGCTCATAGATTATAAGCAATGAAAAGCAATCTTGCTTTTTGAATTATTTGTCACTGCAAGACTTGGTTGGAAATCTTGTACATAAATGGCAATATAAAGTAAAATTAATTCACTAAATTAGCTTTCACCAGAAGGGACCTCTTTCCCCATCTCTAAATTTGCCCTAACACCTCAAAATGTAATTTTTCTCCTGTTTTCTGATGTGTTATTCTTTAACTGGAACTGAGGACTGGGATTCAGCCTGCTGGCTGCAGGCTGGATTTAGAGGGTATGAATGCGGAGCTGAGCTGGGAAGACCAAACAGAAACAGAAACCGAAACCAATGTGCATCACTGTCATATGCAGTGGTAACAAAGCTGTGACCTGGCCCTAGAAAACCTGGACTTGCCTTGGGACGCAGGGTGAGGCAGGTTGGGTTTTGGCACCAGTGGACCACAGCAGTAGTTTCTCTGGTGGATTTTGCTGGACAGAGGTTTGGAAGCCTACTAGAATGAGGGGAGAAAGGCAAGGGCAGAGCAAAGGTCCTTCTGGATTCTCTGAGGAGCTATGGACTGGGCATCCTGAGTGTGCTAGTCATTGAGGGGCCCAGCTGGTGGCCCAGGTGACACTTTTATCTAGGTAAGCAGGATCTGCTTTCTACAGAACATCTCTTATGTGACTGCTTTTCAATGTAAGCATTTCAAGCAAAGCAGTGTTCTCATGCAGAAAATATTTGTAGAGAGTAATTCTCTGTAATGATTGTAGATTGCTTCTCTGTTTGTAGTTGATCTTGCCAATAGCTTCAGTCCATACCGAGACGGCAGATTTGTTGAGAAACGACTGAGATCCTCTTCAGAAGGTACTGCTGGAGGCAGTCGGCTGATCATAAAACCAAAGGATGGAAATACAGAAGAGCTTCACAGCCTACGGAAGCAGAGAGCAAGCTCATCCTCGTCAAAAATGAACAGCATGGTGAGTTTCCTTCCCATATGCATACTTTTTGTTTTCCTGTGGTTGGTGTAACTACAACGAGAAGCAGCAACTTTACAAGTAATAGATGACAATAAAGATGGGAAGAATAAAAAGCTGTTTCAGGCTTCCAAAATACAATGCAGGTTTAGCTACAGATGTTAAAAGTATTTTTTTCAGAGTGTGACACTGTGAAAAGGCCCGTGTACTTTCTGTGAAGAGGTTCTTGTCATGCTGTGCCAGTTTGCCTGGGAGAAAAATGCTGGGAGAGGGAACTGCAGCAAAATTCAGTATGAATGTTTCTGAGGTTAAATAATCCGTGGCAACATTTTATTGTTACTGTGTTAGTTATTTCATGGACTCAGGTTGGTTGATATGAGTGAGATGAGATTCAGACCAAAAGTTGGATAGAGAGGATGTTGTCTGTAAGGAGGCTCATTTGAAAGGTCTGAGAAGTCCCTTTTGAAACTGACAAGTTTGAATGCTTTCACTCTGAGCAGGATGTAAGGAGGAGAGGGCAATATCTCTTGTGAGAACCCTTGAGGGTCCTGAGGACTGGAAAAGCTAAGACAGATCAGAAAACTGCAGGAGAGTACTTTTGAAATCTCTTCTAGTGAAACAATAGTAGAAGGATCTGACTGACAAGTTTGTGCTTTCCTATAGCCAATAAGAGTAAACACTTTTAAGATGAGTGTAATTTATACTTATGCATGTGCTTTCCACTGAGAGAAATAAAGAAGATGCTGACATTGAACATCTACAGCAATGGCATCCACTCTTCAGCTTAAGGGAATCATTAAAAAAAGTTTTATGGGCGTTATTAGTTTGAGATATCTTATTCAACATGCTAGCTGAAAAAGGAGGATTCATTTTGTCCTCATATCTGAAAACAGCTTTCCAGAAAAAGCTCCAAGTTTCTTATCCCTGTCTAGAGTTGCTAAACAGTTGCTAATAAATAAAGGGGCTTTTCCTGTTCAGGTTTACCTAATAGCCATTATGTTACAACAGTGCAGGACCAAACACATCCCTGAGAGACTCAGATGTGAACACAGCTGCTTTTTGTAGGAGAGAAATTTTACAGTTTTTCAGAGATGTGAAACTGATTGGTGCAAACTGATGTTAGATCTCCAGTTGCGTGCTCTTTTGCTGTGGTTTTACTGGCTAATACAAAAACTCAACAACTCACACCATTGTTTAGACAACTGTTACAACTGCGTGCTGGTTTGGTTGCCACTAAACCTAGTATCTTCTCTCTCACCTGAGAAGCCAAGGAAGACTAAAATTGTCTTCCTCTGTGAGATTCACCCATATAAGTTCCTGGCTGTGGCTGGTAATTTAAAAATAGATGCCCAGAAAAGGATCTGATTTAGTGTGAAATCCCCGTACGGAAACTGTGGTGGGAAATTGGGGGTTCAGAGTTTCACAAGAGGATGAGAAATCTGTCTTTTGTCTTGATAAATATCACCCATGTGTCTGAATGTGTCATCTAAATGTTCCTTTGTGGCTAGGCTCACAAATGCTACTGTGGATGGCAGGAGAAAATTACATCAGTACCAAGCACATTCTTACTGTGTATGGCTGATGCACAACAGATTTTTGCAGTGTACCAGTGTCCTGAAGTAATGGTCACTAAAACCACTCAACTGAAATGGAGTTACTTGATGTCTTTTACAGAAATTGATGTCTTTTACAGAACTGCTTGCCCTTACACTTACTGTGGGTTTTTTTTTTTCCTTCTTTTTTTTTTTTTTTTTACTCTTTTTAGCAGTATCAGATTGGGCAGTTTTATCAGTATTCATTGGTTAATTTTATACTACCTGAAAGGGCAAGAGGCAAATTAATTTTAGGAAGGAGAAGATCTTATACATCTGCCTTCCTTGTTTCTAGATTGTTGCCAGCTTGTCAGGTGAAATAATACAGTAATGCAAAATTTATTTCAACAAAAACCCCTTGATTTTTTTTTTTTTTTTAGTCCACTGAATTATCACACCCAGAGATACAGGATAGAAATAAAGAGGTAGAATTAATACATAGTTAGAAGAAACCTTTGTGCTATTAAACTGTATAGATACAGCATGTGTCTCTATTTTTGCAGGAAGTTCACATCCAAATATCAGTGAATACCATATAATTTTTTCAAAGTCAGGAAGGACATTATGACATTTAAAGATGCTGTTTCATTACGCATACAGAGCATTACAGAGATGTAGCTCCTGCCCTAAAAAGCTGGTTAACGCTGACACAAGCCTGTAAGCCTTGTTTGGGTAGTTAGACCCAAGCTGTTAGGCAGATCTTTCCATTCACTTAACTACTAGGCTGGACTGGTGCTGTAGCTTTTCATTCTATCTAGTCCTGGATTAACAATGGAATGGGAAGGTGGCAACACAGTAACAACGGGAAATAAGCAAAGTGGCATAGGGGTAGGTGATGGTTTGAGTCGCTTCTTCTTGTTTTGTGAATGAAATCCACATTTCTTTTTCACTTCCACTAGAAAGATTGTCCACAAATTCATAAGTGTTTGCTCATGCTTATTTGTATTGCAGTCATAGACCAAGAACTTTTACGTCAAGGTTATTGTGCATGCTCATGAGTGAAGATAAAATTATTCCTCCTTTCCCCCCAGTGCATATGGATATCATCTCCACATGTTAAGAGAAATGCTAGGTGAAAGCTTTTTTTAGTAAAAGTGAGGTTTAAGAAGAAGTAAAACAAAAAATATCACCACCTCCTTCTTCCCTAAACAACCAGAAGGCAAAATAATAAGCAGAGTTCACTGGAAGGAAAAGGAACTAAAAATTGAAGAAATAGAATGTTCATAATCATATGTATCTGAACAGTAAAAAGACCTCTTCAAAATGCTTATCACAAGCAATTAAATTTTAATACCCCAGTAGCAGATTGTTACAAGTGAATGATCCAAATGAAGAATAAATACTAGGTAAAGAAATGGAGCTGCTAAACGAAGTATTATTAAAAACCTTAACCTAACTTTCTTATGTGCCTAGAAAAACATGAGTCACTCTTCTGTGGCTATTTGTATTAATTTTGTTCAATTTTAGAATAAAATGAACCACAGGCTTTTAAGGGATGGCAGGTTTATGGTGGGTTGCCCAGGCCTCCCTGATGAGGACAGCGTTGCTGTTCAGTTCTTTGCAGTAGTAGCTCTAGTACTGTTTTTCTGGCATCGTCCAGAAGTTGTATTGTGCTGTGGAAGCTTTGTAGTGTGAAATGTACCCTTTCCTCACAAACTGAAGGAAGTCCTCCAAGACCTCGTTTGCTTTCTTTTTCTTGCTGGCAGGCAACGTGGGACGCTTCTGCTGAGGGCCTGGAGGGAGTGAGGAGCCGGAATACCTGAGGAGATGCTAGAGCTCACAGAAAAAATTAGCATCTGAGAAACTGTTCTACCTCTTAAGCAACTTGCTCAGCAGGGTATTCTTGCCTGATTGGCACTGCTCTTTTTGAAGATGATAGGTAAAAGCTTGGATAGGTGGATCTCCTTAATACTGAGAATTAAATCAAACATACAGAGATGGTCACCACAGTGGCATTAATTCACTTGTGAGATGCAGAAAGCAATTTAAAATCTGGACAAG